CCACCAGAGTAAGAGCGTGATTTTATTCACGCAACCAGACGCTGGGTGAAGCGTTTGTTTTGAGGACGTATATATACGTCCTGGGTCGTTGCGTGACCGCACTGAGGTCGTATATATACGTCCTTGGTAGCGAAAGGGTAGTTGCATGGGGTCAGCTGAACTAAGAACCCATTCGTGCACGTCCTCGTCATTGATCATAATTTACATTACTCGTCATAGCCTGACAGCTGGGAAACGACTCCTTGTGCTGGTCTCGCAGACAGACTCTCCATAAAACACCACCGCTTATTGAGGGAGAACTTTGCGGATGGTTACTTTAAAGAATTATTTCGTTATGGGTTTCAAGCTTAGGAATCGAGGCGACCAGAAAGTCAGAGGCGGGTTCCACAGGGCTGTGATTTTTTGTGGTGAATTTTTGTTTGCTATTTCCCGCCGATTTTAAATGTATGTACTATGAGTATTGTATCAGTATAAATCATATGACGCCATTCCACACGGGAGCTAGCTGTACATGTTTTGAAAAGAAGTTCATTTCCGCTCGCAAAAACGAATTTATTGAAAAAAATTAATTTGTAACCACCCCTGTTTTCTTCCGCGAGCACGTTAGCTACAGCTGTAAATAATTTCCAAAGACATCGCTTTCTTGAAAAAAAATTAAAAGACTTTTAAATCGTGCTTGGTTTGCTGTTAACTCATTTAGTGTTCTCTTCTTATCTCGCATGCTTTTAAATAACACAAAAGAGGACGATTTTTTATTTGAGAGATATATACTATTTTTACATAAATAAACTATCCGTTCAGGCTCCAGTAAACACGCGACAAATAACAAGTATGTCTATCAGTTTAATTTGTAGTTATTGCGCACTGAAGTTGGGTAGGAACCAGGGCGGGAGAAGACTACATCTTACCGCCCTGGTAGGAACTATACACAAGGAGTTGGTTTGTCAACAGTAGGCTAGCAATAAAAATTGCAATGAGGTGATAACAAGCACAAGAAAAGGAACCTGTTTACTTTCCCTTGTGCGTCTCCACAGTACATGCATCCCGGGGCATGTGGTGTAGCACGCACACGCTGTGATTATAATGTGACAAGAACTGTAGCAAAAGGTATATTCATCATAGAAATATATAAACATCGTTTGGCACTGGCTAAGAAACATTACAAATGAACGTCTTTTAAAACCACTATTAAATAAGGTTTACTGTTACTGTTTCCACGCCATCAGAAACCGACGAAGAGCGCCGGAATTTTTTCGATCAAATCCGTGCTTTATTGGTGATTAAAAAACTCGTTCGTTCTTCACACTGGCCATGCGTGACATCACAAAGCTGTAATGTCTCAGCCTCCTCCTCAGGCGCTTCGCATTTTTGCGAGCGTGAAGCGCGAGTGATGAGCATGAAGCGCGAGTGATGAGCGTGAAGCGCGAGAGCACGAGCGACTGGTCACGAGCGCGAAGGAACATGGGAAGGAGAAAGCCATTTTCTTGTAATAAGCGAGACGTCTGGGTACGAGGCTGGTAATGTCTGGCTTCACGCGCCTGGTACGTGAGAATTTGTGGAGAATCAGTGAATCTTAAGGGTCCCTCTCAACCAGTGTGCTTTGCGGTCGCGTGTTATTGTTTTCATCCGGGGAACTCCATCTCTCGTGGGGCTAACGTATGCCATACTTTCGCAATTGTGCTAACTTGGGTCGTCTAACTGCTTTTTGTGGCCAGAACAAGGCCAGGATCCTGCAAAAAGTAGTTTTTAACTTCAAGCCGCCATTTTCGCGGCACCCAAAAATGGCCGCCGTAAGAATATTGGCGCGCAAAGCACACTGGTTGAGAGGGACCCTTTAATTTACGTAACCCATGATAAATACATTTCTAGTTTTCGATAAAGATATAAAGAATCAATTCATTAGTCTGCTGAACATATGCCCGTCGGTCATATGTACGAAAAACTGGTGAAACATAATCTCCATCCCATTCTCATTCGCCATTCCCGATTCTCGATTCCAATTCTCTGTTTTACTAACATCCAATTTCTAAATTTGAGGTCATTGGAGTAAATAGATCAACATACCGTAAAAGCTCTATTTAGCCACCACCCCCCCTCTCTATTAAGCGCCCCCTATCTAATAAGTCCCCCCTTTGGAAGTCAGATTTTGTAATAAGCCCCCCCCCTCTCTATTAAGTCCCCCCCCCCCCCCCCCTCTCCTTCTGTCAGGCTGATGTAAATGACTTTTCAGCAATATTTTCTGGCGTTTCAGTCACTTTGTATTGAAACGTGGTCTTTAATTTCCAGAACTATCGTCGTCGAGTTAGGGTATAAATGACGTTTCCTTTGTAAGACGGTCATACTTAACACGTTTCTTGTTCTGTTTTAGTTAGTGGTGTAATAGTAAAGTTTGAAAAATTAATGTGAATTTTCTTGAAAATTTATGATTTGAAATAAGCCCCCCTCTCTATTAAGCCCCCCTCTCTAATAAGCCCCCCTTTTTTGAGACCTGAAATTAAATAAGACCCGCGGGGGCTTAATAGAGCTTTTACGGTAATTAGAATATTGGCAATTGATATCTAATCCAAAGAATTAAACAAACACTTACAGGTATGTCAAGGACGTCAGGTTATCGAATATTCCAGAATTAAGGCTGCTCAGTTCGTTGCGGGATAACGACCTGTAATTAATTGATGAAATCCTAATTATATTTAATTAGTTTAAAAAAGCAAATTAAATATTAGAAACATAACACGGCATCGAGCTGTAATGCGCTAGGCTTTTCTCATTTCTGTGACCAGAACATAAATGACATGACGGGATGGCATGTCAGCGTCCACATGCTGATGGCTGTTGCTCTTGCGGAATCGAATGGTTGCTGCATGGTTGCAGCCAATGGAAAACGGAATATCCATTTGAAGGGTTGTTTTAAAAGAGTTGCATGGGGTCAGCTGAACTAAGAAACCTTTCGTGCCCGTCCTCGTCATTGATCATAATTTACATTAGTCGCCATAACCTTGTGCTGGTCTCGCAGACAGACTCTTCATAAAACACCACCGCTTATTGAGGGAGAACTCTGCGGATGGTTACTTTAAAGAATTATTTCGTTATGGGTTCCAAGCATTAGGAATCGAGGCGACCAGAAAGTCAGAGGCGGGTTCCATAGGGCTGTGATTTTTTCCCCGTAATGTATTCCATTTCTTGCGGTAACACTTCTGGGCCCGGTTGTTCAAAGCACGATTAAGCTAATCCTGGATTAGCGTGAATTTTGATTTCAGTTTTGTAACTTTCAGTGAGATTTTCTGTTTATATTTTTTGCTCTTCAGTATTGACTTTGACTAATGTCAAACTCCACAAAACATTCAATGTCATGGAAAACCACATTTATATAGGAGAAATTGAAACCTCAATTATTTGTTAATCCTGGATTAGCGTTAATCGGCATTCGAACAACTGGGCCCTGGTGGATTTTTGTTTCGCATGTTTCGCATGTTTTTGCGAGCGTGAAGCGCGAATGATGAGCGTGAAGCGCGAGTGATGAGCGTGAAGCGCGAGTGATGAGTGTGAAGCGCGAGTGATGAGCGTGAAGCGCAAGTGATGAGCACAAAGCGCGTGCGACTGGTCACGAGCGCGAAGGACCATGGGAAGGAGAAAGCCATTTTCTTGGAATTAAGAGAGACGTCTGGGTACGAGGCTGGTAATGTCTGGCTTCACGCGCCAGGTATGTCATGGAGAATCAGTGAACCTTAATTTACGTAACCCATGATAAATACATTTCTAGTTTTCGATAAAGATATGAAGAATCAATTCATTAGTCTACCGAACATATGCCCATCGGTCATATGTACGAAAAACTGGTGAAACATGTTAAATCACATAGCTTTACGATAATCTCCATCCCATTCTCATTCGCCATTCCCAATTCTCTATTCCCATTCTCTGTTTTACTAATATTTAATTTCTAAATTTGAGGACATTAGGAGTTGGAATAGATCAACATAATTAGAACATTGACAATTGTTGTCTAATCCAAAGAAAAGAAACAAAAATACTTACATTTTTTTCAAGGACTTCAGGTTATCAAATATTCCAGAATTAAGGCTGCTAAGTTCGTTGCTTCGTAACCACCTGTAATTATTTTATGAAATCCTAATTACATTCAAAATAAAAAATAACAACTTTATTTAAGTGTCAGAGGATTTAGCACTGCTGTTAGTACTAATTGTGGACACTGTAAATGAACAAACAAATATTGTAAATAGAACATCAACTTGTTAAGAATCCCAACTGGTGGGAGGCTGTCCAGTTGGCTATTTACAAAGCGTGGCCGAGGAGTTGAACTCGGGACTACCGAGAGCAAATCCAGCTAGTGGCAGGGTCTAGGATTTGAACCAGCTGGGACCTAAACCACTAAACCACTCGGCCACGCCGCCTCCCTTCAATTAATGTTTTAAAACAGCAAATAAATTCTTAGAAACAGACGTCAAAAATGTGACGAACGAACGACCCGTAGGTGTGGAGAACAACCCACAGCACAAGAACAGCAAAAATAAACGTAACTGACACTTTATTATCTATCTCCACTCAGTTTAGTTCAAATACAAATGTAACGCACAATATTTGCACTGTAATAAACCAGCTAAACAGGTTAGTTATAGTGCTTTGAGCTCTTCCGATCAAGCGCATGCAACGCTGAACACAGCGGTGACAAAGTTTAATTTTCGGGAAAGAAAAACGTTGGATAATAGATATCTTGTGAACGATGTTAATCAGTCAGTGACACAAGCTACTGGGGAAAAAATTCTGAGTTCTCCCAACAGAAGTCGAACCTATGAACTTCCGCATACCGGTCGGACGCTCAGGCCATATTTTACTAGATTCAAATGTGACAAACGTCCAGTACATACTACTAGGATTAGATTTTTCGATGAGCGAGAATGTGTGGAAATAAATTACGGTATATTTTAATGTTGGTAGAAATATGAGAAAGATGTTAATCAGTCAGTGACACAAGCTACTCGTCTCCTGTAGCTCAGTGATAGAGCGTCCGACCGGTGTGCGGAAGCTACAACGGTCACAGGTTCAACTCCTGTCGGAAGAACTCGGAATTTTTTTTCGCAGGAGTTAGTTTCTGTCACTGACTGATTACATCTTTCTCGTATTTCTAAATATAACATCAATTATTTTCAATAAATCTCTCTTTAGACATATTTTAGTGTGTAGTATCGCTATACGTGGGGGAAATTCGAACGCACCATCGACAGCAGATATAAACCTAACACACTTTCTTCGAAGGCAATGAATCATATAAATTATGTTGAAGCAATAATTTGAGTAAACCGTCTGTAAACTACAGTGTGTAGTCCAGTCCTTCGACCGCTCTTTTCACTTTTTTTACTTCCGGTGGCGCTGGGGAGGGTCGAGGGAACCTTGCATGCGCATGCTCAAAGTAGACTAAATATTAGAAACAATTAGCTATTACGTCATTTGCCCCCGTTGCAAATCTCTATGCCACACGCCAAATGTAGAGGAATGCCTGGCTCCTCCACTCTCTTCAATCTCCTTTTCGCTCTTCTTTTGCTTGATTTTCAGGCTTATTGAATTTATAAAACTCGGGTTTTAGTGTAGATGCAGTAAAAATGCTGCAATTTTCATGAACCACGTTTTAAGGGACTGTGCAATAATTACCAGGAGGGGGGGGGGGGGGTTGGAAAACCAGAGGGGGGGGGGCATAAAGTAAAATCAAAGCAAGGAGAGGGGGGGCTCTAGGTAAAATAGGTCACTCAAGAGGGGGGAGGGGCTTAACATTTTATTTAAAGTACATATTACATTGGCGAATCCATACCTATTTATAAGGTGGGGGCCGAAAAATTTTCCTTCACCGGACCTGAAAATAACACACATGCCCTTTTCCTTCTGCTATGGTTCTGTTGAACATTGCTACGGAGGTGATGTTTGTTCCAGACGCGGATGTCCAACAATTAAACATGCAGTAGCTCTTCTTTCTGTTATAAGATTTTAATCCACACTAGTGCGTGTAGAGAAAATGTAGCAGCGTACTTGTATAAAGGTGTGTGTATACTGTGAGGGGGGGGGGGGGGTCGTACATAATTTCTGACTGATTAGAGGGGGGGGGGGGGCAATAACTAAATTCACTCCTTTAGGAGGGGGGGGTATTACCTAATATTTGGCTACATGAAGCCCATTTTCCATTTTCCAAACCCCCCCCCCCCTCCTGATAATTATTGCACAGTCCCTAATAAATTCAGTTTTTTTTTCACGTGCTTGAATAGGGTAGCCTGCGTGCAGACGTCTCCTTTTCCTTGCTTCTCGCGGAAAAGTGACGTCTGCGAAACGGCGTTCCTAATCGTGTTCCAGTGTCCCGCTGTTTCTCCAGAATTCGGGGACCGCGCTCTGATTGGTTGCTTGACAGTAGGCATTGTTTAGAATCAACTCGGATTGGCTATCGTCCGAAATACTCAAGATAATTTATGCTGCATGAATTCAACGGAGCTAAAACATGTCGGCGATGTTCGGTGATGTCGTGTGATTGTGTGTTGTGTTTTTCGCCGATCGTGAATCATAACGACAAACAAATCTTAATCAATGTCGCGGAGTATTTAAAGATTATGAAGAAATCCTTTCTCTGCAGTTTGCAGTTCACTTAATCGCCGTACATCTGTAAACAACCGGGAAACAACCCAATGCGTTGGAAAGCTACGGAAGCGAAGATGACTTTACAATAAATTGCGAAAAATCGAAGAGGAACTTTTAAATGACTACAGTTCTAAAGCTTGCAGGGCAGGACTGACAGTTACTGTAAAGAAGAAGGCCCAAACACTTGGAAAGGACAGGGTGGAAACATCGGCTTCTCCCGAGAAGCGAATTCTTTTGGACGAAATTATCGTAACAGTCGAACTTGAATATCAACCGTGAGGATTCTGTTGAAACACTGGACAATTTGCATTGTAGTACTCCTGTTAGACCTGTGATCTTGAAGCGATCAGATCAAGATCCTGCCTCTGTAAATACGGTAAACGTAAATAAAACTGTGAGTTAAATTTATGCGAAATTTAAAACCCGAACAGCAGGGTGCTGGAACACGATTAGGAACGCCGTTTCGCAGACGTCACTTTTCCGCGAGAAGCAAGGAAAAGGAGACGTCTGCACATCACCCTGGAGCCTCCATCTCCCTTATTGGGCCTATGACACGGCGTAGTTACACCTTGAGCTATTTTTAGAATTACCTTTGCCGCGAAAATCACCCGTTGCGAGCACGAGGACGAGGCTGTCATTCATGTTTCAGATTGAAAATAAAATCAGGAATGGATGAGAGGAACGTGGAATAAAACTAGAACGGCGGAATGTCGTTACTACGAAATATCACTATTGTCCGCGGACGTACCCGGATATCTTTTCGCGGGAGAACGATGCTAAAAATAGCCGAAGGTGTAGATACGCTGTTGTCATTAATCAGTACAGATAGAGGCTCCCGGGTGATATGCTCCTGACTTTAATCCTATTCTGCCTATTCTGCCTGCCCTGCTTTGGCCGACAGAAAGTTTACCCCCCACCCTATGTATCTCCAAAAATATTAACCCTATAATACTAAAACTTATATGGTGTGTAACGTATCCAAAGATATTTATTTTAGTGACCGTCACATGTGAATTATGACGTCATATCATGCCAAAATTACGTCATACATTGCAAAAATAATCGCCATCTCATTTTGACCAAACATTGTGGGTGATTGTCAAAACATGATTGCCATGACACCAAAATATTCCCCAATAAGTAACATAAGTTATTAAAATCAGCGCAATTCTTGCATCGAATATTGAGCAAAAGACGCCTTCGACTCGGGATGGTTACTTTCAAAGCAGATTAAACCTAATTTACTTACAGGGCTGTTAGATTTGCAAGACCATCAAATATTCCTTGTGGCAGTGTAATCAGTTTGTTATTGTCCAAGTCACTAAAATAAGATACAAATAAATAAATATATCAAATATAACTTTTTCTCACATAGTAGCCTCTTCTATAGTCGTTTTTTTCAGTTAGTAGAGTCGTCACAGGTCGTCGCACAACCCGAACGCCTGCCTGCCATTTGTCAGTTAAGACAGTGACAAGTTTGCTGCTGTTAATAGCAGAAAGTGTCATCAGTTGCAGTTCTTATAAAGGCTTCTGGAACTTTCGTGTGCTTTATGCGATCAGAATATTCATTCGCCCTTGAAAAAACCATAGACTAAATACAGTAAACTGGTAAATAGTTGGTTAACGATGCGTTATATAGCGTCATAGTGCATAATCCAAAATTTTACGTTTTTGCCTTTGAGCATTATATTAACCGCACCACCTGTTGTTTTTCGACCTGATGATGTTTAAAAAAAATAAGTACAGGTTAGCATTCATCTTATCTATGTATCCAATATTGTTAATGCTGTTCAAACTGTTCATGTATGAGCTAATAGCTTTTGAGTAGAAAGCAACCATCTGTTGTGAGAATGACAATGAGATATTCTTCCGTTCTTCAGGTCCGTACTCAGGTTTGTCACTGAAGGATATGGATCACGGTATTTACCAACTACAGACAGATGCTATTAATGAATCTCAAGTCAGTTACTTACAGCTCCTCTAATTTGGTAAGGCGATGGAATATTTCTGGTGGTAAAGTCTGGAGCACATTTTCCTTCAACGCTCTATAAAAATTTAATTGTGAGACAATTCGCACCCTAGCTGTCAAACTGAGTAAATATGACGTTAAACTTATGACTAACTGAATAATTTGGTGCATTAGTTAAGGTCAAATGTAAGAGCATCTGATGTCACGACCATTCTCGTCCCCAGAGGCCATGATCCTTTTGGTCAGCACCAAGAATCGGGACCTCTGGCCGGAACAAATTTGTTGAACATGCGCAGAGTACTCGTTTTATATTCTCAGCCAATCAGATTTGTCAGATTTGACGGGAAGTCCGAGTTTCGCGGACTTCCGGTGTTGGAACCGGCCAGAGGTCTAGATTCTTGGTGCTGACCAAAAAGGATCGTGGCCTCTGGGGACGAGATGATGTCACGACTTTCTGAACAATAACAAAATTGAAATCTTCAGAAAACTTTCCACTTTTTCCGATTGTCTGTTGAAAAATCTGGAGTAATCTGTTTGTTTGTGTTTGTTTTTGTGGTTAAATATTTGAGTTATTAAAATAAATCTAAATACTTAAAATTTTTAAATTTAAGAAATTAAAATTCTTATTGGCTCATCGACTGGTATGTCGCACCATAATTGCACTCTATTTGCCAAACACTAAAGGGGATCCTCCTTTTCACGTTTAATCCTATTCTGCCTGGGCTTTAATGGAGTATTCCTCTGTCCCCACTCCAGTTTCTCCTGAAGTATTTACGCTACGGTAATGAGTTTGTACGGCTTATGTAAAGCTGACAGGGATGGTGGAGCCATTGTGTATGGGTAAACAGCCTGTCAAAATGTGGTTGCCATGAAATCACGTCAGGATAAAACTGACATTTGTTTGAACTTCTAGATTTAGAGCACGCGTGAGTTATAACGTTTTAACTAATCAGCGCGGGCACTTTATGTCCCGGCCGGTCCATCCAGGCAGAATGGGGTTAAAGAAAAATGTTTACCCCATAAATGTAGTAACTTTTGAGAGTAAACAATTATTGTAATCTAACACACTTACAATTTCCTGAGATTTGTGGTGTTAAAAAAAGACATCTGATGGTAACTTTTGAAGTTTGTTGGCGCGCAAATTTCTGTGAAGTGCACAGTAAAGGTAATGTCATTCACAGGTTTTTCTTTATATATATAGGATTCTGGAGTGAGCGTTAAAGTTATGCGCGTGGATACTCGGCGCTTCGCGCCTCTTGATTCTCACGTCACATCAATATCTCCAGAGGAAAAAAGAGACTGTTCGCAGTCTACCACAACTTAAAGAGGCACTATCACGGAGATTGTTCTACCTTCTTGGTCAAAATGGTGCTAAAATTATGACTGGGTACCACTACGCTCGTACACGAAATGCGCCTAGAACATCAAGAGGAAGATATCAAGTGAATTGTTCAAGGGAGAGCAAACCGTAATTA